CTGTTAATCTGACAGAAATAAATGAAAATAGACTATAAGCCTATAGTTGACTAGTTCCTACAAGTTGATCGTTATCAATTCAAGTAAAAAGCATTCAGTGAGGATTGGACAATCCTCGCTTGTTTCACGCAGAATATTACGCACGATTGCGGAACCTGCCATGTCGGCTCTTTCTACGATAATATCACTGGCTGAGAACGGTCTGCGCAGGTACAATACGTACAAAGCATAGACTTCACTTCAACCGTGAATAATCATGGTCTGGGTCACAAATCCCGTTCCTGATAGAATTCTGTCAATGTAAAATGGTCAGAGGAAAGATACACAGATATCTTGGAATGACTTTGGATTTCTCGGTGAAAGGAAAACTCAAGATCCGCATGGACGACTATGTCAAGAACATGTTGGAAGACTTTCCTATCAAGTTCAACAAGGATTCAAAGCAGGAAACACCAGCTGGTAACGATTTACTGGAAGCTGGGAAAGGAAAGTTACTCAATGCTGAGTACCGTCAAATCTTTCATACTACTGTTGCAAGGGGACTTTATGTCTCTAAGAGAGCTCGTTTGGATATCCATCCAACGATTACTATTCTTGCCTTGAGAGTTCGAGAACCTACAGAGTCTGATTAGAAGAAGTGTGTTCGCATGATGCTATATTTATTTTGTACATTGTTGTATCACCTGACACTTTCTGCAGAATCACTACGAGTAATGAAATGGATGACTGACACATCATTTGCGGTGCATCCAAATTTCAAGAGCCATACTGGCTGCACTCTGTCTTTTGGAGGAGGTGCAGCTCAAGTGATGTTGAAGAAACAAAAGCCAAACAGCAGAAGTAGTACGGAAGCGGAACTGATTGCTGTTGACAATGTTGTCACAATGATACTATGGACAAAGTTGTTCATGGAGTGGCAAGGGTATCCGATCGAGAAGAATGTCTTGTATCAGGATAACAAAAGCGCGATTCTACTGGAAGAGAATGGTTGCAAGAGCGCCGGTGTTAGAATAAAGCAAAATGTGCTCTATTGTGAGTGCATTTAGCGCTCAGAACAAACTCTCTGCAATCTAAATTCGTAATCGATTGTACAACACTTTCACAACAATAGTTCTCCTGTGTCTAGGTATACTTTAGGTGAAATTGTTCCTATTTGATTAATATTTGGCTTGAATTGATGATTCAATCACAAAAGTAAGTTCAACAATTTTCCCTTGGAAAATCCCTTGTTTACAGAACTTGATTTGACTTCTACGACAATTCTGTGTTGAATACAGTACTTTGGGACATCTTGTATTATTCCCTACTGCATCGTACACAACATCAATATCCACACTCGTTTAGGGTCATTCCCTTTTTGTGTGGATGTAGATTGTCCGACAGACTTGCGTCCGGCATACTTGCGTCGAATCCCGACATCACGTTCAAAGTCGGATCATATGTGTCAAAAACTTTGTACTTGAATAGTTTCTTTTTGGAACGTAAAAACTCATATTTTGTCATATCCCAACACACTCCTGCCATTGTGACAATCACCATTGGCAGCAATGGGACATGCTCTCATTCACCGTTTATTTTTGTTTTGTATTTTCATTTTGAACATATACATACTTGTGTGACCTAGTCCTGTGGACCAAGAATCAGATCCCTGAACTTGCAAAACTTCTCACCTTGCAATGGCTTAGTCATGAGATCCGCAATCATATCGTCAGTTGGACAGTATTTGACCTTAACATTTCCTTTCTCAACTTGATCTGTGATAAAGAAATAATGAATATTGATAGCTCGGCTTCTTTTGCGCGCTCATCGCCTCGGAATACTAGGCGACCTTTAATTGTCTTTTCGAATTGCTTCTCCGCAAGTAACATCATCGCTCATTGGGCCTTCTTTCGCTCAGACGCGGTCATGTCTTTAACAAATTCAGGGGTAAAACAATCTCTCAGGAGCATTTGTCTCAATTCCTTATCCACAGCATCCTTTCCATCATCACCAAACTTCTTCAGTCCTTGGTTGATGTAATACTGTTGAATGAAGTTCAGACCTTCCTCAGTATCGAACTTGGCCTTGATCTGCATCATGCAACAAACAACAAGAATAGCATCGTGCTCTTCATAATCAGCTTTCATCTCATTCCCAATCTGTTGGAAACATAGATTGTGCTTTGCTTCAAGGATAGCTTTACTGTCTTTAGTACTGCGACTTCCTTCTTTGGTACAAATACCAGAGTTTAACTTGTTCTTCAACGGTTTCAAGTCTCTTTCTCAATGCTTGCATCTTGTTGCAACTTGATTCTTGTTCTTATTGGCAGAACTGCCACTCCTGCTCGAAGGCCATTCTCTTGGTTTCTTTGGAACTTGAGAAAGGTTCAGCCCAGACATTACAGCTTGCGCATACGTTTGCCCAGATCAAGTGACTTTTGCTACTTGAGGCATTTCAGGCTCAAATACAATCTCTTCTTCTGGCGGTTCTTGTAGGTCCTCCAGATCAGTAACGAGGCTCCCAATATCATCGGCTCCTCTATTGACATTTTCTTGATGGTGATCCAAATCAGCCACAATAGGCTTTTCCTCTTCATCACCTTCATCACCCAAATTGTCGTCTGATTCATAGTCATCATCTCCTTGGAATCTAACACTGAGTTCTGGTATATCATCAACATCATTGTCTGCATCTGCCAAGAGCTCTTCTCTTTTGGAGTCATCAATATCATCAAATTGTCATATTCCAAAAAAACAAAAAGTACAAAAACAACGCGGATCTGCGGGTCCTCCAAACATCACTTTTGGTACTTCGCCTACACGATTTTTCTGTACCAAAAGGAAACTCGCTCCTCCTTTTTGCATCAAAACTGACAATGGGAAAGTCGAAGAACAACAAGAAAGTGGCAATCGCTGCTAAACCTGTTAATTCTACTGCTCTTACTCAGGGTCGCATCAGTTTTTTGCAAAAAAGCCGAGCCGAAACCGCCGAAATTCGATCGAAAAAGGAATCCGACGATTTACACAGCGACACCGAGATGGAGGAGGTCGAGAATCCGCTGAAGTACGATCGCATTGTCCAGAACATCGATTCGTCTCAGTGGAACCTGCAAACCCTTGCCTATCTCTGCACAATCCACCGTGCTTGTGGTCAACGCAACAATAAAAAAGAAGTGGTCTTTGGAATTGAGTTGTTCTTGGCATGGGAGAACGAGCCCGATTTCCACTGGCCTTGGTGCGAAGGGTATTCGGAAAATTTCGTAGACCCTCCGGCGACTGAATCCTGGGAGGAAGCAGCCGAGAAGCTACTACAGATTTGTGATGGGGATTGGAACTTGGTCGAGCAACGCATTGGAGCTGCGCTTGACCAAGACATCAAGGACAAATTTATTGGGAACGATCGTGAGCTAGTGGTATATGTACAAGGATTAATTCTTGGTCTGGCGGTCCAGGATCCTTTGGTGATTTATCCATTGGACGAGCCGTTGGAGGACACTACGTTTTTTAATCGGTATTGGAATTTTACTTTGGAGGTCGAGCCTCGGTTACTACTGGAACTACGTCCTCTGGCTAAAGTGTGGGCCATTGCGGTTGAACTTCTAGGCCACCAGTGGACCGACCCCGACACGACGACGGTAGTAACGGAATTGGCTGAGCGTCGCTCAGCAGCCAAGGGCCGAAAACGTGAGCGCAATCTGGACCCATCAACGGAACGAAAATCAGCTCCAATTGACCCTTGCTCTCCGGCGCGAGGGTTCTTTCTGGATGCCACTCCAAAACCAGTTCGCGACTCTGTTGCCCCCAATAAGGATGATTCGGTAATGATGGACACAACGGGTCCATCGGTAATTAGCCCCACCAATAAACCAGTCCACGGCGAGTTTGCTTATTGGTCCGACAACGATGGGTCTGAGTCCGTTGAGTCGGCATTAGACTTTTCTGCACCATCGAATTGGGACCAACCTCCTACTGAAGTGGTTGTGGGGAAGTCACCTGCCCCAGCTCAGCGGGCCAACGACCCCTCGGCAACAGTATTGAACGACTCTTTGTCGAAGACTGAGCCTCCCAACCCTCCTCGACCTTCAGCTCCTCTGTCCGTGAAGAAGCAACTCACTTATGTTGCCGCCTCACAGAAGAAGGCTGCTATTCGGACCAAGTACCTCTCTGAAGAAATGAAAGCCCGTGAAGTGACACAGATGAATTTGACTGGGCTTCCTCGCTCGAACGCCCAGTTCCTCTGCGCTACAATCAACTATGAATGGGATGGCGACACATCTGAAGGCGGTTCTATTGAAAAGTGTTTCACTGAAGAAATGGTCTCGGTTCTGTCTATGGCTATGGACAACGCTGAGGGCGACTTGGTCATTCTTCCAGTGAGCGAACTCCGTGTACGGGACAAGAAGTTGTGGCTGACCTCTAAAGAGAAAGTGGAGGAGCTCACCTACAAGAAGCTCAAGCCCTACATTGACTGGTCCTGGAATAATGGCGCCTGATTTGGCTACAACGCTAAGAACCCCGGCCCCAAGACTCTTTGCACCCGCATTTGCGTCGCCCACAACTCTTCTCTGGACAACATGTCCCGACTACTGGGTCAATGTTTCGAGATCACCAGCATGCATGCAGGCGTCTTCCGTTCCCCGCTGCAAGTTAGTGATCCTGTCCGAATCGGTTGGCTATTGAACTACCCCATGGGGATTGGGAGAGCGGCACTTGAACGCGAGCTCATGCGTCACTTCACCTTCAAGCGAGCTATAGCCCTCAAACCTGCGTGGCCACAGAACCCTGGTACGGCGGGCCAAAAATGGATGCCCTCCAAGGGTCCAAAAGCGTGGCACATTTGGGTAGCTGCTTCTGACGTGGATAGAGTGGCACGGGCCCTCTTTGCATGGCTCAGACCAGAGACAAAGAAGTGTCACATGCCGTTTGGTGCCCGGACTCAGTTTGTCTACGACTTTGGGGCGATTACGAAGGGACACCTTGGTGACCTCGCGCAACCAGGGGGGCAGTGGAATGGCATCATTGGGAAACTCATCAACGCCCATGACACTACCTCCCAGACCTGCACCTCCCTGGCTCCACTGTTTCCTATCCAAGGCATGCTGACCAAGGTCTTCATTCCCAAGTACTGCAAACAGGGCAAGGGCAAATCCCTCCTCCAATTCCTCTACGCAATTCAGTGCATACCAGCGGTCAAGAAACCTGCCCCTGCTATGCCTGAACAATCAGCCACACAGGATGCCGACACACCAGACTCTCCATTGCCACCTTCCGTGTCTTCTACTCCTCCCAAACTGACACTGACCAACCCAAGTGTAACTGCCTCCACCACAGCTCAGCCAACTCTACCCGCCTCATCAACCAAGCGTTCCAGTCGCAAGGGGTCTAAGAACCGCCGGGCCAAGCAACCTCTTGAGAAACCTACGGAGACGCCTCAGGCTACTACCCTCACCCCTCTCCCATGGCCAACTCCGGCACTGAAGTCTCCACCCCAGGCAGCAACCAACCCTCCCACGGCGTCTTCTGCTCAGGCGAAACTTTCTGCATCTGAGCAGCCCCTGGTCACTGAGGCATTTGATTGCAGCGCATGGCTGGCGGCAATGGATGCGGAACTGAACCAGGGCCCAGCCGGTCTCTTCCAAATGATTCTACCAGGCCCAATCGATGGCTTCTATGTGTTTGTGGTGCGCCAAAAGTTTGCCTCATTGGCACAGGAAGTTGTCAAGAACCTGGCGGCCTTCCTTATTTCTCATCTTGAGTTATGGCAGGACCTGAAGCATCAGCGGAAGACATGCCGCACCTGGCTCTGCTTGGACCACTATAATCGAACGGTTACCAACGCTATGGCCTGGGACCAAAGCCAACATTGTGCAATCTTGGAGTATGAGCGGGCCGTCAATTTGGACCAGCAAGTAGAGAAAGATGATAATGAGTGGATTTAGAAGCTCCTCGCGGCAGAGCAGGCTTCTCCGGCATTTGAGGGCACCATCACGATTGACCTGTCGATGCCAGCTGCAAAGGATATGGATGACGGGGCTACGGTAGGCAGCACGGCAAATATGGCAGCACTATTGAAGAACATGAAAGCGGATGTCAACGACCTTTGCATGGAACTAGAGACTGCGGCGGAAAAACTGGCTCAAGCTAAGGATGCGGAGGCTGCCAAGGATGCTCGTATCCTTGAATTGGAGGCCAAAATGGCGGCACAAGCATCAGTCACAGGAAAGCACCGTTTGTCAAGCCCCTCCTCCAGCAAGGCAACATCATCGGCTGACAGTGGGGGTGGCCCCCCCGGCGGTGGTCCCTAACCACCAACGGTCCCGTCACGCAAGGTTGCGGCGTTTGACAGAAGGCCGAGGTCAAAATCTACGCAACCAACACACATCCAGCCAGGTGACCCACTCCTCGCTGGATGCTTATTTAAACTCTCTCCCTCCCGGTAACTACTTCGGCAATGACTCACGTCAGAAGTCTCCTTGCGTTACCCGGGTCCTTTTTCAAAATGTTCAGGGTCTTCCATTTCCTATCTATGACACATGAGAAACAGAAAGGGCTCTTCAACTGTTGGACGGATGAGAGAGTGGGCATTGCACTGCTGGCTGAAGTTAACCTTCAATGGTCAGCAGTGCCCAGAGGACTCAAGTGGTTTGATTGGGTCAAGTCCTTCACTAACCAGGGACATTTCTCTTCAGTGTCTTACTACAAACACCAGGAGTTTCCAACTCCCTCGGCGCATCAATGGGGCGGATGTTCTGCTACATTACTCCACAAGGTCGCGCGCCGTGCAAAGTCAGGCGGCAAAGATGAGTCAGGGCTAGGCAGGTTCTCATGGATCAAGATCCGGGGCAGGGACATCCGACAGCAGGAGTCTCAGACTGATGGGCCCCCGGCTGGTCCTTTAGATCTTGTGGTGGTCTCTGCATATCGTCCGAAGAAGGAAGGTACCAATGCTGGTAGTGTTTGGAACTACCAACGGAATTACTGGCTGAGCAAGGGGGTGCCTATGGATCCCCGTGACAAGCTCACTCTGGATTTGGTGGACCTGATCAAACAATGGAAAAGGGAAGGGTGCGAGATTCTCCTTGGTTTAGATGCAAACGAAGATGTCTCGTGCAACTCTCCCTCTTCCTTCCGCCAAGAGATGCGGTCAGCAGGCCTGACCGAGGCCATCTTACGCCGACATTAGGGCCCTTACCCAGCGACAACCCAAAGTTGGATGACGGATACTCCCATCAATGGTATATTTGTGACCGACGGCGTCCGTGTCACTGCAGGTGGATACTTGGACTTTCAGCAGTATTTTAAGTCGGACCACAGGGGACTCTGGATCGACATTGACCTGGAAGCGACTCTGGGGGCTCCACCGGTGACCTTTCCTTCCTTCCAACCACGTCGGTTGACACTGGCTGATGGTCGGTCGGTGGACCGCTATATTAAGGCTGCAGAAGCGGGCTACCGGCATTTCCGCCTTCCCCAACGCTTGACCCAATTAGCGGAGGATATTTCGGTCCAGGACGCTTACCTTACGGCGAATCAGCAAGATCGATTCAACACCATTCATCGCCAGGCCTATGAGATCCGCCAAAAGGCTGAGCGTAACTGCCGGAAACTCTCGATGGGTAAGGTTCACTGGTCACCACAAATGCAGTAGAAATGGGATAGATTGCACCTTTACCAGCTCCTGATCTTGGGCTATAAACAGGTTCGGACTAGTTCACGGAAGGTACGGCGTTTGTTGAAGAAGACCGGTCTGACCGATGCATGGAAATTGTCAGAAGCTGACCT